TGAGTACTTTAATCGTCTCTAAGCAACACCCCCAAGCCGTATTAGTTCTAATTCTAATTATTAGTTTCGCAAATGCCTCATTAATTCTTATTTTACTGGAATAATTAAATCCTAAGTCCTACTAATAATAACAATGCATACAATAATGTAATAATTAATAATGAATTAAACCTTCACTATTGGTAGTGGTTTGTGTGGTTGTTCTTTTTTGTGCCTATCAATCAACGTCTTCTTTTGATCTTTAAGAGTATCCTTCATGAAAGAATTAGTAGGGTATCCAGCATTAATCCCAATATATTCAAGGGATGAATGGATGAAGATAATTTCATATAAATGTTGTACTAGTTCTATCCAGTTAGGTTGAGATGATTCATCATCAACATCTTCACACTTTATCCTCAGTAGTCTGATGGTTGTATGTGACTGTAACATGTTAGTAACAGCAGGTAGTACCTGTTCATAAAACAATGATGTCTTTATTTGTTTCTTCTCTTCCTCACTACAGTTACTGTCACTGTCACTGTCGCTGTCACTGTCACTAGTCTGGCTACGCGAGGCTACACTCAATACACTGTCACTATCACTACTGGTACTGTCAGACCAATCATGTTTGAAGTTTACTCTAAATTCCATGAGACTGTTCTTTTGAGAGATGACATTAATAAAAGTTCTTATCTCTTCATTCAGTTGAATGGATACACTCAACTGCTGTAGACTGGTGTTGTGTCTGAGACCAGTTATTAGGAAGGGCAGGAATGAATCGGGAATGTTACCAAACCTCTCATTATTAATCTCAAGGTATTTCAGTGTTTGGTTTTGTGTTAGCATGTCTTCTAGACTAGTACCCATACTGCTGGTATATACTTTCTCCTCTATCTCCACACTCAGAGCTTTAAGTATAGTATTGGTTTGTAGAATAGTAAATAGTTCAATAGCACTCTCAGCTGTGTATAGTTGTAAAGTAAGTGTATGTAGACTGGGATGAGAGAGAAATATGAGATGTGGTGGGTATTGATCACGTAGATGTAGTATCAGACAGTGTAATCCTTTGATATGTGGAAGGAGTGATGATGTCATCAGTTCACTACTTGTGGATCCTATCTCTAGAGCAGTCAGTGGTGTGTTCACCTCTACTATATTCAGTGATGATGGTAGGAAGCAATAAACTATGTCCAGTGAAAGAACTTGTAATTTGTTGTTGTCCTTTAGTAACTGCTCTATTAGTCCATCAGGCAGACGAGGAGCAGCATTAAGAAAAAGAGGTACCGGTACATGTATTGTTAATGATGTTATTGTTTTATTTCTTGTTACTCCTCTAATGACACTGGTAATGGTACTTGTTATTTCACTCTCTCCTTCATACACAATCTTCATTTCTTGTAGTGTTGAATTCATTTCTATACATTTCTCAAGTTCAGTGCACTTGTCTGTGTAGTATGTGTAGTCTGTTGGTATAGGGTCTTCCATTCTTAAGTGCAGTATCTTCAATTGAGGAAGATTGAGGAACTGTAACAATACAAGACAGGGAACATGATTAGCTACTAATAATTCACAGCAGCACTCCTGAATATTGTACAGAAGTGATGGTTGTAAATATTTGTGTATTTCTTCATGAGTGGGCATACCCAATCCTACCTCCAGTCTCTTACACTGAGTCTGTAGTGAGTTATTGGTTAGTCCAGCAGTGAAGACTGATAGTTCCTGGTCAGATACAATCCCCATGTGCAAGTGATTCCATGTTATGTAATTGGAATTGTTTATACAATAACTGAGACACAACCAGTCAAACAATGATAATGATACTCTATCTCTTTCCAGACACAGTGAGTGGTTGTTGATGGATTGTGCTAATGCTTGACATAATGTTGTGTTCTGTGATTCATACAGGAGTTGAAGAAGAAGAATGGGAACATTGTCAAGATCATCAAATCTGATATGATCAAATTGTCTAATCTCAGGATTGTGATAGAAGTAGGAGAGATGACAAGTCTCAAATCCAAACAATGGTTCCCTCTTACACTGTAAGTCAAGTTGTTGTTTATTAAAATACTGTTGATAGCTCTCATGTTCAAGGTGAGTTAGACCTGCCACAAACCTCAGACACATTCGAAAGTGATCATCATCAAAGTGATCCTTAAACACTTCCTCTGTCTTCTTCTCATGCTTAGCTATCCACCATGCAGCTAGAAATTCCTGTATACTCAAGTGAAGGAACTGATACTTCTCCACATCATATTCTGTGAATGTTGTCATCAATCCAAGATAGTCTTCCTTGACTGCCTCACTCAGTGACTGTACTTCATGTGAAGAGAATATCATTCTTGTATTAGCCAGGTTAGTATAAGCTAACTGACACATCTCTTGTAAAGGTTTAGCTAATTGTGATGGTAATGAAGAAAGACTACCTAAAGTGCGTGGGTTAATGTCATGTCTTTTAACATGTCTTCTGATAGTTTGCAGGATAAAGTTCTCATACAGTTGAGTGAGTGTTGTTGGTAAGTGTCCTCCTTCCTTACAATAAACTAAGATGACCATGGAACAGACTAGTGGTACATAACACAATGATTGGAAATCATTTCGTACTTTAAGATCATTAATGAGTTTCACTGCTAGCTGTGAGTCCTTACTGCTTTGAGTAGTTGTGAAATGTGATTTGTGTTTGTTGTTATCAATGAGTTCTTGTGCTAGTTTTGTATCTTTTTGAAGTGTTTGTATAATTACTGTTGATATTTCTTGCTTAGAAAACCCAATAACCTGAACATGTCTACTGAGATTAGAAATGATCTCTAGAAGTGAAGAGGAGGCATAGCTACGAGAGGTAACAATTACTGAACATTGGTCTAACTTCTCTTTACAAATGACACTAGCAGCTAATGAAGACTGTCTGAGTTGTACACTTAGTTCATCCCAACCATC